TTTATAAACATTTGCAATGTTAGCCAATTGTTTATTAACAATCCATTAATACAAAATACTTCATATAGGGCTCATTGGAAGCGGAATTATGTAAAATTTCACTTAGTAACGTCAGAATTACGATAACTTTATTTGTTTATAAAATATTTCTTTTTCTATTAACCTTATACAGATGATACAGATCGGACGGTGGAGCGCCTTGGCTTGCGATCACCGGAGTCAAGCACAGCTGAGTTCGGTTAGTACGTGGATGAGTGACAGCTTTGGTGCTCGTTATAGTTCTGGTGTTTTCACTGTAATTGAAATATATCAAGCGGGAAGTTTGACCTCGAGAATGTGTTTGTTCATTTGTGATAACTATCCAAATATATAAACAAAACTCGATTGTCAATAAACCGACTGCGCTAGGGAGAGGTTATCTGTAGTTTTCCACTCCCCTGGCCAAAAGTCCAGGCAAATGCGAGTGCTTCTAATGAAGTCGGCTTACAGCCCCAAAAATTTAGAGTTTGTGAGTTTTTTTATTTTTCAAATTTTTTTAGAAAGTTCAAAACGTATTTTTTCAACCCAAAAATATGGAAATGTCCTTTTTCTTTGTCTTCGAGATATTAATTAATTATTAAGGTTAATAAAAAATGATATATTTTATAAACAAATAAAGTTATCGTAATTCAGACGTTACTAAGTGAAATTTTACATAATTCCGCTTCCAATGAGCTCTACATGAAGTATTTTTGATTACTGGATTGTTAATAAACAATTGGCTAACATTGCAAATGTTTATAAAAAAATCCTCTAATCCAAAATAACTTTATTTATTTTTAAAATATTTCATTTTTTATTAACAATGATTAATTAATATCTCGAAAATAACTAAAAAGGACAGCTTAATATTTTTTGTAGTGAAAATACACATTTTTAGTTTTCAAAAAACAAAAAAATCAAACCAAAAGACCGATCGCCAATTATTTTTTCATCTATCTGTTTAAAAGTTATGTCTTCAAAAATTCACTGTTTAAATTTTACAAAAAATTCCAATCCCCTCTCTCTCCTACAGTTTTTGTAAAAACCTAACAATTCTTCATGGTTATAGTACTCACCCCTAGGTCTAAAATATGTGCAAGTTACAGCCCGATCTGATCAACTTTTGTTTCCCTTAGTACGTTGCAGGAATTTTAACCCATATGTTTTTTAGCGAAGATCGTTGTCATGCGTATTAGTATAGGTTTGCGAGTGTCTATGTATAAGTAAAATAATCTGTGTATTAAGTTTACAAATGTGTATCTACCGTTTATTTATTTGTGCGTTTGTGTTCTTCCAATCACCGTGATGTGTTAATTGGAATGACCAATGCCATTTGTACTAGCACATAGTATGATACAAATATGACCTTCAAATTTTAAACTCAAATAAAGATTATATTCTACGATCATCAATTTGTCAGCAATACATTTAATTGACTCTTCTTTTTTATAAAAAATGATTTTTTACCATAATTTCTTCGCCTAAGTTCCGGATAATTCTTAGAACTATAAGATGTTTTAGAACAAAATGGCTTTGGATATTGTTTTGTACAAAGTATATGCAAATCTATATTAACCCGTTGCCTGTCGCTGACGCATATATGCGCGAAACTAAAACTGGACAATAGTGCAGTTGACGCATATATGCGCAACTTATAAAAAGTGATTAAAAAAATCTTAAATATTCCTCAAACTGTTTACTCGGGGGTTTTCGGGGTCGCTGATTCCAAATCTAACATCAGTTTTTCAAAATTCAAAATGGCGGATCCAATATGGCAATAATCGTATCCGTACATTTTTAAGAATTTCAATCCGACATTTTTAATTTTTAAAAACTGCACTGCAAAAAGAAGTATCTTATTATAAGATACATTGGAAGCAAGTTACCAAAAGTATCTTCCAATCCATCTTATATCTTAAGAAAGTAATGCATTTTAAGTTGCTTTAGATAACTTAGAAGCAAGATATAAAAAACATCTTAAAAAGGCGACCAAAACATCTTAAAATAAGATACTTCTTTTTGCAGTGTGATGTCAGATTCGTAATCAGGAACCCTAAAAACCTTAGTATATCAAATTTCATGAAAATCCGTTAAAATTTTTTTCAACACACTTTTGGCCCAAACAGTGGAAATCTTGTCGACAGCCAAGGGGTTAAGTCTTGTTTTATTTTGAAGCTTTAACAAAAATGTAATTTACATATTCAGTCAACTTTGATTTTGAACCTTTAACGAAAAAGTAATTTTCATATTCAGTCAACTTTTGTGTTGAATATTTGCTCACAAGTGGACATTTTAAGATTTAAATAATCTATTCTGAAAGCTGCGATGCAACACTCCCAAGTTAACCTTAAAACATTCAATGAATCTTTCGTGAATTTTCGGTGCTGTGTGGAAGGATACATATAAAATTTTAAAGGAGTAAAAGTACATGTATTTCAAGTATACTTAAGGTTAATAGTCCATCGAGGTTCACTATAAGGAAGCATTAAAGGATATGTAATGGGATCAACATTTTCACTAAGACTAGAATTTCGAATTCTCTTTCAATCCTTTAGCCATATTTCTATGTCGCGTTCCATAAGAGATTCACCATCTTCGCTAACAAATACAAGAGCTATTTTACTGCTTCAATTATTACTCGCGTTTATTCTACATTTGAATATTCCTTATAGGCTCATTTTTAGATTTTGCTAGTGCTTTTTCTTCTAATTCTACTCCTCTCATCATTTTAAACGCGTTAGCATAAGGCCCAATTTCCATTAATAATTTGTCAATTTTTTCCGTTAATGATAATAACCATTTCTTATTAGATTTATTCTTTAATCGTTCGAGTACTGCTTCATTGGTATCAAGAATGTAGAACTGATCATGTTTTTGGTTGTCATCATCATCAGGGTGAAGAGCTTATGTATTATGATACACTTGTCCGTTTACACGAAGAAAATAAGGACCATATCTTTTAGGAATGTTTGCTTTTGCTCCCATGCTGGCGAAAATTAATGAATCAAAGCTTGAGTCAAATAATACATTTTTGAAATAAAACGGATAAGCATTTAAAACTTTCAACTGTACTTTTCCCTTGTGACAGCAACTATTAAATAATCTTCTGACCCACTTTCACACAAAAAATGTAACGCACTACAAAACTCACATGCATTAACATTCATCGAACCTACATAATCATGTCAACTTTACTTTAATCGAAATCTTCAATGGACTTAATTGCAACTTCTACAGTGTCTAACGTTTTGTCATTTTTCTTATCGTTTTTACATGCCAAATTCTTTACTTGAAGCACTTTCTTTTCATCTTCCGTTTCCATAGATAATTTCTTCCTCTTATATGCCAAACTTTTTTCTTTGTGTATTTTCATTTCATCCCCAGGATGGATTTACATGTTAATGTAAATATACAGAATCATAACCAAAAATAATAAGACATACTCAGAAAAGCTACTCCAAGAAAGAAATCATCTCTGTGGCGAAAAAAGGACGAAAATCGTAATTGGAAAAAATATCGAAATTAACAATTTCATATAATTTTCAAAATTTTTATAAGTACCTGACAAGATGTAAATTATAATTATAATAATAATGAAACTTCATAGATTTGATATAATCTTTCTAAATAGGGGTAGATATCACTCCATCGGTGACTTTGTAGATAATTCATTTTTAAATAATACTTTCTTAAGACCAAACACATGTTTGGTAAAAGCAACAAATTTTCCATTTTTTTGATATTTTAGGGCAATTTTACTTATCTCTTTCATTTTTAAAAATTTACAATACTTTACAACCCTTTAAAAAAGACCCCCTAACATTTGCCTACATTTTCCCTACTTCTATTCTTTATTACTCCCTAAATCCCAAATTATCTCACCTAGACCCCGAGGTAAGCACTAGAGATATGTCGCAAAATTTCAATTATCGCAGTACAACTTTCCTCGCTCATTAACAAACATTTCTCCTGGCTCTGGCAGAAGAGTTCCTTGATGCTGATTCCACATATACGAAACACGCGCGTTTTGCGCTGACGCATGTCGCTAGTGACAGAGTGGGATACGTATTTGTTGACGCGTAACGCTAGCGATAGAGTGATATACGTATACCACTCTGTGGCTGGTTTCACAATAGGCTTGACGCAAAGTAAACGCAGCGTTGACGCGACGCATCCCCATTTGATTAGCATTGGGATGCGTCGCGTCAACGCTGCGTTTACCTTGCGTCGAGCCCATTGTGGAACCAGCCTGTCGCTAGGACACGCGTAAGCGCAAAACGCGCGCGTTTCGTATATGTGGAATCAGCATGAGACTGGAAACGCCACGACTAAGCCCGTCCGCGAGTCGGAACCCGTGTTAAATCTTCATACAAAGTTTAAATAAACAATAACTTGTAACAGAATTCTTAGTATTTTCTTATTATCTACTCCTACCTTTTCGTAATAGTTTCAATTTTTTTATCTATATAGTGGCTTGGCGGAACGTTCTAAAAGGATAAACGATACCACATAAAAATAAACAGAATTTCGAGTTTCTTTTCTCACACAATTTCAGTTAACTTTAAATTCTGATAGCTTGGTGCCGCCCCTAACCTCAAAATTGAAAAATTCCTAATTAATTAATTTACGGTTTGTAACATTTTAAAATTTTTAAGAATTTGTTACACGTGGAACTACACGTGTACTTGATACTTTGATATTTCTCGAAAATTTTATAACCTTTTACACGTGTAATCGATACTTTGATATTTCTCTAATATTTAATAAACTTTTTTCACACGTAATTACTCGTGTAATTCATACTTTGAAACTTTTTTAAAATTTCAAGAATTTGTTACACGTGTAATATATACTTTGATATATCACAAATATTTTGAAATCTTTGTAGCGGTTCGTTTATATAAAATTAATATTTTAATAAGAATGAAATTTTAATTTGAGACCCAAGGAGTTTTCCTTCTTATAAAATACAAAGAATATAAAATCAATATATATTTTTTATTTAATACAACACTCGTTATCCATACTACAATTGTTTTATGTGTGCAGTATGGTGTGTAAGTGTGGTGTTGGAATGTGTTATGTTTTTTATATCTCACATACAATAATCTTTTAAGCAGACTATTGATACAAAGTTTCTCTATCTAATAATTCGTTGATAAAAATCAAATTTATTATATTAAGCTTAGCTGAAACAAAAGTTCATAAAAAATTGGCAGAGGTATGATTGAACTTGCAACAAAGATTAAGGGGAGGTTCCACTGGTTTTGATGTTTTTTTCAAAGATTTTTTTTTATAGTAAAAAAAATATTTGCTACTTAAAATTTTTTTATCTCAAAATACATGTCTTAAGATAATCGAAAATTATTATTATTTTTTTTTCTTTCAAAATGGCGTCTTAGAAAATGGCTGCCAAAAGTGGTCCTCTCTAAAAGTGGTTCACACTTTTTCTCTGGAACGGTTAATCTAAAATGAAAAAAGTAAATAGTTTCTTAATCTGTACCATTTTAGCTGTCGTGTTGACTAGAATAAGAATTTTTTATTAAAAAATAACCGAAGGACAGACTTTTGAATTTTTTTATCATAATTTTGCAACTTAAATTGTTTATAACTTTTTTAAATATTAATGAATTTTCAAAATCCCAGTCCACACGAAAACTACACATTCAAGGAACATGCTGTCCAAAAATCAAGTTAATAGGTTAAGTATTGTTAAAATGGGAGTGTGAACCAGTTGGAAATATGTGGTTTCAAGAAAAACGCGTTTAAAGTTTTTATATAAAAATTTTGGATAATATTTTTCAAGTTGACAAAAACTCAATGAATTCACTTGAATTTTGTTACTCGGGGGTTTTCGGGGTCGCTGATCACGAATTTGATGTTACTTTTTAAAAATTCAAAATGGCGGATCCAATATGGCGGACGAGTTTTACAAAAATTTATTGGATTTACTTTAAACTCGTCACTCGGGGGTTTTTGGGGTCGCTGATTACGAATTTAATGTTACTTTTTAGAAATTCAAAATGGCGGATCCAATATGGCGGACGAGTTTTACAAAAATTCATCGGATTTACTTGAAAGTCGTCAATTGGGGGTTTTTGGGGTCGCTGATCACGAATTTAATGTTACTTTTTAAAAATTGTCCAATTTATCTGAAACATGGTATTTAGGAGTTTTTATGGTCACTGATTAGGAATTTGAAGTCATATTATCAAGATTTATGCCCATTTTTTAATTGTTTTAATTTATCCGCCATATTGGAAATTACATTTTGAATTTTGAAAATCTGATGTCAAATTCTTATTTAACGACCCTAAAAACCACCAAATAAAAATTTTCCACCGTAATTGGTCACTTTAAACTTTTTTTAAAAACATTTTAACGTCATATTGGATCCGCCATTTTGTAATTTCATAGTCGCGGCAGCTTATTTTAAAAAGAAATTCTTCATGGTAGTTTTGCAAAAAGATCCATTAAAATCGGTTAACATTTGCCGCTTCAATAGAATTTCAAAACAAAAATTTCACTTTTATTCTACTGTACCTCGCTTCGCATGAAGGGGGTAGCGTTTTCGCTATCATAAGTACTCTTAAGGGCGAGATTTGTGCATTAAACTATTTTTACCGAATTCTTAGGTATGTATACTAATCAAAAATGAAAAAAAAAATTTTTCGATTTAAAAAAAAAAACCAGTGGAACCTCCCCTTAAGCAGAAAATGGATCGCAAAGGTATTACTGAACCTGCAATTAAAAGAATCGAGAATTTGTCTTTATAATATATATATATATATATATATATACACATATACATACACATACACTTGTAGAGGCAACGGGAACTCGAACTGAGTATCGAGTGATCTACGGGAGCGATGCTTAATTATTTTATTTTAACATTACTATTTTATTATATATATATATATATATATATATATATATATATATATATATATATATATATATATATATATACAGGGTGTCCCGGTCGAGCGCGAACATATTTCAGAAAAAGATAGAAAATAAAATTTTAAGAGAAAAAGTCCTGAACAGTTTTTAAAAATTTTTTGTAGTTTTTGAGTTATTCAAAAAGCAAAACCGCTCAATCAGACGCGCCAGACTGCTGTGCGCCACCCAGTGGGCGTGGCAATACTGGTGCCTAGCAGTTGAACAGAGCGTTGCACTTTATTCTCACCGAACAATAGAGACGTATGAAACTGTCACAATTGCCATTGTCCCGAATTGTCACTGCCCCGAATTTTCATTGTCCCGACATGACAATGTCACAAATTCTCGTTGTCCCGAAAGTAATCATGGAAAAAATTTCCCCCAAAAATTTATACCACGCTATTGTTTGAAACAATGCTAATTCGGGACAGTGGCAATTCAAGACAGTGTTCATTTGGGACATTAGACATTCAGGACAATATCATTTTAGGATCTTGACAGATCCAGACATAGACAATTAGGGACATTAGACATTTGGGACATTGGGAGTTCGGGAAATTAGAAATTCGGGACACTGGCACTTTGGATTATTAACATTATGGGACATTATCAATTCGGAAATATTGACGCTCTAGGACATTAACAAATCGGGACATTGACACTTTAGGACACTAGCAATTCGGGATATTGGTACTTTGGGACATTCACCATTCGGGACGTTGGCGATTCGAGACATTGACGATTTGGGACGTTGACGACTCAAGGCTGTGTCAGCTCAGGACATTGCCATTTCGGGACAATAAAACTTAGGGACTTTAGCAATTTGGGAAGATTACATTTAGGGATATTGACAATTCAGAACGTTGGCAGTTCATATTAAATTCAAATTTTTTTCCATTGCTACTTTCGGACAAAAAAGTTTTCGGTTTTAGAGGGAAAATTTTTTTAATTTTCCTAAACTGCAAATTCAGTTAAAAACAATTTTGTAATATTTCCCAAAGAAATAATTTTTAATTATTTATCAATCTGATTGCTGGCGGCATTCGAGTGAAACTTTTATTCAAAGCGATTATCAAACAAAAAACCAGCACCTTTTTCGAGCTACTGAAGTTGTAAATTAAATTGTTTATGAACCGAAATTTTATTCGCTTTGTAAGAAAATTGTATAGAATCGGACAAAAAATTTATTTGTTAATAAGTTTTTCTTTATTTAAATTTATTAACATTTTTCTTCTTGCAAGACGACAGCTTTTTGTTTGTCAATCTAAAGAATTGTTATTTGACAATTAAGTAGGTAGAAAACGTGCAGAAGTTGGATGCTCATTTAATTTTAGTTCCTGAGTAATGAAAAAATTAACAACTTACTATTGTTAATAAATAATGTAGAGTAGTTGACATGAACGTATGAAACATTTAATTGTTTTAGAAAATCGTTATTTTGAAATTTAAGCTTATAAAAATAAAAGAAAAATACTTTTTGTGTGCTTAATTAGTACTTCTCTCCGAAGAAGAAAACACTTTTTAACATTTTAATTGTTAAAAAAGAATGCACAGCAGTTAACATAAAATACAAAAAAATAAATTTTTTAATAAAGTCGAAATTAACTATGAATTTAGCGATTTGGAAAACAACCATAATGTAGAGACTTCCTCAATATTTCTCCTCGAGTAATAAAGAAATTAATAACGATGTAATTGTTAATAAATAATGCAGGAGTCGAAATAATTAAAAAGTTATAAAAAATTAATTTGTAAAACAATTTACAGTAATCGAAAAAAACAGCAAAAAATTTAATTTGTTGACCACGACGAAATTTTGCGATAATCTAAGTAATTACAAAACATCTAAACTTGAGGATTGTCCCTAATTTAAATGTCCGGAATGGTCATTTCTGCAGCACAAATGCCGCGGTCTTAAATTTTCATTGTCCCCAATTGTCATTGCCCAAATAGTAATTGTGCAGAACTACGATTGTATCAAACTGTCATGGTCCCGCATTGCTAATGTCTTGAATTTTAATTGTCTCCAATTGTTTGTTCCAAAACGCTATTGCTCGAATTACATTTGTCCCGAATTTTTCTTGTCTCTAATTGTCACGTTTCACAATTTACAATGTCCGAAAATGCATGGTCCCTATTTTTCAGTGTTCGTAATTGTCATTTGTGCAACACATGGTCCCAATTTGTCGTTGTGCTGCATTGCAATTGTTTTGAATTATGATTGTCTCCGATCATTTATCCTAAATCGCCATTCCGCGAATTACAATTGTGCCATATTTTTATTGTCCCTAATTGTCACGTTCTACAATTTATAATGTCCGAAAGGGCATTGCCCCTACTATTAAATGTACTGAATTGTCATTTGTGCACCATAAGTGCTGCTGTCTTAAATGTTTATTGTCCATAAGTGTCATTGTCCAGAACTAGGATTGTCCCAAACTGTTATTGTCCCGCATTGCATTTGTCTTGACCTTACAGTGTCTAGAATTATTTGTCCCAAATCTACATTGCGCTAATTACAGTTGTCCCAAATTTTTCTTGTCAAGAGTTTTCAAGTTTCATAATTGAGTAGCTGCGTGCAATAACTCGCCGAGCGCTTGGCCGATCGCTCTAACGCTAGTCAAACGTTCAAAAACGTGAAAAAAATGAAAAATCAAAATTTTGATTTTTGAAAAGTGCAACCTTGTAGGACATAAGATGGCGCATCTTTTTTTCCTTTGAGTTTTTTTGTAGATCAAAAAATTGAGTTAATATATGCAAAACACTTAAAAATTTTATTTCACAAATTTCATTCAATTTTTAAACATAAATCATAGTATCTTTGACAAATTTCAATGAATATAAGTGAAAATTAATATACATACGTATTTAGGTCCATAGAAGACGACAACATAATCAAAAATAATAAAATCATCAATTGTTTATTTATAATTAATTGTAAATGAAGACTTGTCAATAATAAAGTTTACTTACCTTTGTCGACATAAAGTGTGTGGGGAACTTCAGAGTTGAAGAAACTTTCAGTGAGACATTTGTTTATCATAATGTAAGGAAGTTTTTTGTAAAATTTAAAAACAATTTATCAACAACTTTAGAAAATATAGAACGTTTAACAAAACATGCGCGACGCGCTAGCGAATCTCCGCGCAGAGAATTACAAACAAGAGTTGGGAAGGACGTTATGTTGTGATATATTATGTTTTGAAAATGGAGCCAACATACTATCTGTGATAATATTAGTAAGAGATGACAAGAATAAATTTATAGTCGTAAAAACGCCGCAATCAATAAATAATATACATCACTGTTGATATGTAACAATACTCTAATTTCTTTAAAAAATGAAGAAACAGAAAATAAAGATATACCTTAATATTAATTATTAAAAAACTTATTTGCAAACTGCACAAACAGTACATACAAGCACCAAAATATTTTAAAACTATTGATTATTTAGTAAATATTAAAAAAACAGTTGTTCAAATTTAATTTGCATTTTCATAAAATTAACACATATTTTA